GAGCGGGCAGGACCTGTCGGGGTTAGTTTGTGCCGAGGTTCCGTCTGTCGAGGCTGCCGGAGCGTGTCTGTGTCCTGCCCAGTCTGTTTCTGCAGGTTCGGTGTGCCGGGCGGACTGCTGCTGGCCCGCGACTTAGACATGCGGGCATCAGCGGGTGTCCTCGGGGCGGCCTCTGTGTTTCCCGTGAGCGAGCCCTGCCCCTTGGGCCCTCTCATTCCCACCCTAGTGTCGTGGGACACAGCAGGCTCTACTTGCAACCTCGGGCTTCCTTTCGGGGGGCCCCTCCTCTCCAGCTGCCTGAGGTGGGTGTCCGACGCCCCGGGTGCTGTGGGAGGAGGCAGGGGCGCATGGCCGGGGCTGGGGAAGTGTCCCCTGACTGCACAGCGCCTGGAGCCTCACCTCGGATCGCGTCTGTCCTCCCAGCAGAGGCTTCTAGGTCCTCTTTCTCGGCCTTGTCAGTCGATGCTGAAAAATCTGCTTTTCTCTTTTTGCTGCGGCAGTTAAAGCCCAGAGACCAGCTGTTTACACTGGTGACTAAGTGCTCATTTGTCTTAACTCTTTGTGACTTGAGGTTGAGGCTTTTTAAAATTGCATCGAAGAGTCAGCCAGGAATAGGCATCATGGTAAAATGAAATATAAAATGCTGGTTTTTGTTTAAAAAAATCACAGCCTGTGTCATTTAAATTAAAACTTTGGAAAATGTTTTTCATAATTTTATTTTTTATTGTAGGATCGGTATGCTACAGTAAATAGTTCAGGTGTACCAACATTGTAATTCAATACTTGCATACACCACATAGTGAGTAAATAAAAACTTAAAAAAAATTTTTGAAACAGAACCTAACAGGCTTTTGACAAAAACTTTTGGTGATTTCTTTGTGTGAAGTACTTCAGTTTTCATTTTCTCACATGTCCATCTAATTCTCTAGGACTGGTTTCAGAGGTCACCACAGCCTGCGGACGTGTCTTCACTTTCCCGTTAGTCCTAATCACATCGTGCTAAGGGAGTGACATGTTGCTTTTAGAACTTGAAAGATGTGTGATTCGGACAAACCCAAAATTAAGTGAGAAGTCAGTGCCCAGTTAGTGTTTGCACACATTAAACCTTTTGTCTTGGTGGGGTAGTGTTTAAAGAACACGTTAGTTACTTCTTGACATAATTCCCAGGTTGCTCTTAAGAGATGTGATTCTAGAACTTATTGAATCTGCATCGAGGAAATAGATGTTCCTAACACATTTCTAGAACTCTTTATCTTGCAAAACAAACTGTTTCTGTTAAACACTAAGTCCCCACCTCTCCTCCCAGCCCCTGTGAACCGCCGTCTGCTTTCTCTTCCAGTGAACGCTCTAGGTGCCTCGCGTAAGTGGGATCCTAGAATATCTGTCCTTTCGTCACTGGCTTGGTCGCTGAGCTTAATCTCCTCAAGGTCCATCTCTGTCGTACCATGTGCTATAAAGGTCCTTCCTTTTTAACACCGAATAATATTCCATTGTATTGACGGGCCTCTTTTTCCTCCCTTGGTGGAAGTCTGGTCGCTTCTACCTCTTGGCTGTTGTGAATAACGCTGCTGTAAACGTACCTCTTTGAGACCTTGCTGTCCATTCTTCGGAACGTACGCTGTACAGCGGGATTGCTGGCGGGGGTGGTGGTTCTGTTTTTAATGTTTCAAGAACTGCCGGGCTGTTTTCAGCCACAGCCGCGCCACCGGTGTCTAGTGTTCCAGTCTCTCCGCACTCGGCCAGCACTCGTCTTCACTGTGAACGTGGCACCTGATGGCTGTGGCGTGATGGGTGTCTCATCATGGTTTTGATTTACATTTCTCTAACATTTGGTGATGTTGAGCATCTTTTCACATGTGTTTTGGACCCATTACCTTGGGAGAAATGTCTCATTTGTCTATATTTGTTTTGTTGCCTGTGCTTTTCATATGTAAGAAATTGCTAAGTCCAGTGTCACAAAGGTTTTTGCCTGTGTTTTTTTCTTTTAGGAGTTTTATAGTTTTGGATCTTACATTTGGGTTTTGAGCCCATTTTGAGTTAATTTTTATACATGATGTAAGTTTCTAACTTCGGTCTTTGCAGGTGGACATCTCGTTTTCCCAGCAGCATTTCTTGAAGAGACTTTCTCCCAATGGGGGCGTGGGCAGGGGCAGGGTCAGCTTTTGTTTAATAGCAAGTTATTCAAAGTTTCATTAAGCTCTGGTCTGGTGCAGTCCTCAGTCAAGGGCGTGTGCTGAGGCCAGATGTTAACTGGCAGCTCCTCTTCCTGTTGTTGGCGACTGGTTCGTGGGAGCCAGGGTGGTGGCCGCGGTTGCTGATGCTGGTGTCCTGCGCTGTAGGGCAGGGAAACAGGGGCTCTTGGGGGTCTGGGGCCGCATGCCTTGCCCAGGAGTGAGCCGCTGTGGCTGCTGGGTTTGGGCCACGGCCACACGTGTGGAAGCAGAATCACCGAGGCAGCTCGTGGCAGCGGAGTGCCGAGCGACGCAACAGCAAGCTTCACCATGGGCCGTGTTGGTCACCCAGGGCCAGGGCTTCTCCCGATGTAGTGCGGCTCACCGCACAGGGAAAAGTCCTTCTTAGGGTAGCCCCTAATTTTTAGGGGGTGGGTCCCTCACTTGCCTTTGCTGTGCCCTTGCTGTCCTAGGAGCTCACGGTCATTCCAGACCAGAGTGCAAGCTTGAGGAGAACCGGGTGGGCAGTCCTGCTCCGTGACAGACCACGTGGAGTGTGTTGGCTTCACGAGCCCACACTCCTCAGCGGACTCCCATGGCGTCTCCCAGAGAGGACTGGGCTCCTTCTGGCACAGGGGACACCAGACAGTCTGACGTTTCCCTCTTCATGGGATCCGTGGACATTTCTGAGCACTTCAGACTCAGTGGAAGAAGCGTTTCAAATGATAAATGAGAACCTCAGTCATTGCACTGAGGGTTTAGCTCACTTTCTCGGAGCTGACAGATTTTGCTGCACCGTAAAATGTGAATTGAGGTATTTCATACATTTTGCCACATGGGCTTCTTAGGGTGCTGTGCGCTCAGTGTTTATCCATGAAAACAGTCGGCGGGTGGCAGGTGCCGGGAGAAGTCTGAAGCCACAGCTAGTACTTTCCATAGCCGTCACCGTGCTCGTCACTGTGCTTGTTTCTGCTGGTGCTGACGTGCTGTGAATTACTGGTTACAAATGAAATGCTGATTGTAACGTTTTCACCTTTTTTCTTTTTTTTTTAAATTGTAAAGTATACATACTAATTTCTTTTTAATGCCATTTCAGAATTTCTAGAAGGAGGAGTTGGCCATGTTGAAATGTTATTCCGCTGCAACTATTTGGCTTTAGTCGGTGGTGGGAAAAAGCCGAAGTACCCGCCCAACAAAGGTAAAGGCATCGTGCACCCAGCAGTCACGCCTCCCGCGTCGTGCTGTCTGGACTTGCTGGAGTCCCGTGTGTCTGTGGCCATGTGGTCGGCCCGTAGTGCTGTGAGGAGAAGCGGACCAGCCACTGAGAAGTCGGCATCCAGGAGAGTCTGGTCTCCAGTGTTCCCAGGAGAAATGTGTGACAAGGGCCACCGGCTCCTGTTGACACAGCGTGTGCTTCCCCATGAACGCTGGCCAGATGGGGCCTCTGGACCCCATGTCACCCTGGTGGCAGAAGAGTCCTGAGCTGGTTTTAACGTGCAGTGTGGGGAGGTTGTTCTGTGTGAGCCTCTGGTTCACCGAGTCGTGAGTTCGGTCACCACACAGAGCAGAAGCCAGCGTGGCTCAAGGTTCAAGGGTGTGGTTGGTGGCATGTGTGCGTAAGTCAGAGTGTGTGCATGTGAGTGAGTGTGTGTGCCAGGAGAGCGCAGTGAAGGGTCTGGCTCCTGTGGTGAAGAGGAACAGATAAGCTCACCGACCATCGCTGTGCCCTTCGCCCTGTGAACTAGACCTCAGGTGGGGGAAGGGAAGGAGGCTGGGGGGCAAGGGTCCAGGTGGCTGATGGGCCGGTCCAGGGCCCTGAGTACCCAGTTGGAGGGTGATCAGGGAGCTATGCCAGCAGATTTTGGGTGGAAGCGGGGTGGGAGGCAGGGCCAAGACGCCAGGGAGGGGGCAGAGGTAGGAGGCGGCATGGGGAGGTTGTGAGCGGAGACTGGTGGTCCTCAGGGGCATGCATCGGACACAGGCGGAGGCGGTGAGCCCCAAGGAGGAGTCCATGGGCCAGTGACCTGACCATCCACTGGCAGCCTGGGGACAATGCTGAGATATAGCTGCTGGTGACAGGTTCCAGGGGAGGTGGGAGGGGGTAGGCCGTGCTCCTTCAGAGTTTGGTGGGGACAGGCAGAGGGAGTGAGGGCTGTCCCCCATGAGGGGAACAGTGGGTGGGGGTCTCCCAGGGTGTGCCCAGGCACGAGGGCAAGCTGAGCCCCGCCGCAGCGGAAGGAGGATTGCCAGGGGGCGGGGGCAGCGTGGGGAGGCCCAGCGCCCGAGAAGACCTGGGCACGCTCGAGCCCACAGGAGCCTGGGGGACTGTGCGAGGGTGATGCGGGAATGAGGCTGCCCTCCGGTGGGGGCTCACCCTGAGGGCTCCTCCTGAGCACTGTGTGCTGACCCCCCACGCCTGTCCCAGAGGCTGCGGGTCTGAAAGCTGCTGTCCAGGTCATTGCCGGCACGGGCCAGTGAGCAGAGTCCATGGCTGTGAGTCCTGGAGGAAGTCACCCAGAAGTGACATGGAGCAGCCGTGCTCGGAAGGTGGGGGCGGGCTGTTGCAGTAGAGTGTGGGTGCTTTCCTCGGGCCTCTTGGGGCTGCGCAGACACCCTGCAGCCGGGTGGTCCTGTTTCGTCATGAAGATTGTGCTGGCCACTGATTAGCAGAGGGCGTCGGGGCCTGGCCCCACCAGTGGCCCTGCGGTGGGGGCGTTCCAGGCCCTCAGGGGAGCCGTCCAGTAGTAATCCCCGGGCCTCCTTGCCTTACACATCCTATTCTTAGTAAAGAAATGCCAGGAATGGAAGTGTCTTGGAAATTTACAGACTTAGAAAAAAACAATTTTCTAAAAGATAGAAATTTCTTGACAGTGGAGTTCACCCAGGTCTGTGACCCCCTTGACACGGTTCGCCTGCGGGGTTCGGCCTGGTTGGGGCCAGTTCGCTTTCGTTGTTGAATGACAGAGTTTGGGGTCAGCCGGCAGAGCCCGAGGAGGCTGCCTTTTGGGTTACTGCACAGGCCTTGGAGCGGACGTGCCCTTTGCCCAGCAGGCCTGGGCCGAGCTGCCTTGACTGGGGAGCCATCCTGCTCGCCGAGGGCGGCGCCCCTGCCCTTGGGCGCTGACCTCACAGACGGGCTCCGCGAAGAGGGCGTTTCAAAGGAGTGGCAAGAATGAAGTCCCCTTTTCGTTTTAAATGTTGTCGCCTTTTAATTAACCTTCAATAGTCAAAAAGTTGCATGTTATTTAGTAACAGTTTGGTAGTTCTTTTAGGCTAGTGGTAAATTATCTCTTGATTTGAGAGTCGTGCTGGCAAAATGTAAATTGAATGTGGCCTCCAGGATTTGTGTTCGTCGTGGTAGAAGGGCCTGCAGGGGAGGTACCTGCTCCTTTCTAGCCCTGGTCACCTTGCTAATGACCTACCTGCTGAAGGAAAAACATGTGCTTCCCCTGACCTCACACCCTTTGTAGACGGCTGTTCAAATGGAGGCGACAGAAATGGCCAGCATGCTCCCTGCCTCCCCCAGCACTGCCGGTCAGCATTCTCACCGGTGCGGTCCATGGCCTGTTAGGGACCAGGCCGCACAGCAGGAAGTGAGTGACAGGCTGGCAAGCGAAGCTTCAGCTATATCTGCAGCTGCTCCCCAGCGCTGGCATCACCGCCTCAGACCATCAGGCGTTTGACGCTCTTAGTTAGCACCAGTCCCTGGTGCCACAAAGGTTGGGGACTGCTGCTTGGAATGCAAACCACTAATCACTCCTAAAACACTTCTGAACTTGAACAAGACAAGAGCAGGCAGGTGGGGTTAGGAGATGCACAGCCTGGTTTTTGTGCATCTGACGTCGCAGTAGAGCTGAGACCTTGCTTTTCTGGATCCAGGTTTTTCTCTAGCACTTAACTCTTCGTGACTGTGGTTAGGGTTTTGGGCCCCGCCAAGTCGGAGCACTAGAAGTGCGGTGGGGAGAAGTGTCCCTGGACACTAGGCTAGAGTTGGCAGACAGGAGACCGAAGCGTGTGTGGATGCGTGTGCATGGGCGCGTGTGTCAGAGACAGGTGAGCTGCCTGGGGTGCTGACCTGGGAGGGTGGGGCGGGTGGAGGGTGAAGCCCCGGGAGCCGCTTTGGGGTGGCTCTGAGACCCGGCTGTGGCATGGGGAGCACCACCTCTGCCTGGTGAGGCGACCATGGCCTCAGGACCCTGCAGAGCAGCCTGGTCGTTGTCACGTTCATGCGTTCTTTCTGCCGTTGCAGTGATGATCTGGGACGACCTGAAGAAGAAGACCGTCATTGAAATCGAGTTTTCTACGGAGGTCAAGGCCGTGAAACTGCGGCGAGACCGGTAGGTTTGACGCCTGATTTCGCAGTGGGGCGTCACTTTCTCTGACGTTGGCGGAAATGCTTCCCTACTGCAGGAAGTAGGCGTTCAGGAAAATGATGAATTAAATGCAGAGAACAGTCTGTGGCCACGCCACCCTGAATGCGCCCTATCCCGTCTGATTTCGGAAGCTCAACAGGGTCGGGCCTGGTTAGTACTTGGATGGGAGACCACCCAGGAAGACCAGGTGCTGTAGGCGTAAAAAATAAAAAGCAAAGGATTGTAAGCTGACAAGGTCCTTGCAATCTGTGAGGTCAACCACAGGTTGCCTCCCCTAAAAAAAAAAAATGCAGAGACCATAGTTTATGAGCCGGAGAGCGTACAGATTGCTCACACTGCTGCAGGGAAGGCTGTGAATCCCACCAGCTTCACAGGGCGAGCAGGTGGCAGGCGTGGGCTGGGCCCTCGATGGCTCAGCCCTCAGCATCCCCGGCCGATAGGTGCAGGTCTAGGACCCGCGTTGGGAACTTTGAGTTGCCTCACTCTTAGTCCGTGCTTTCTTAAAAGCGGCCTCAGTGAAAGTTTGCAGAGTGACGGTAAAGGAGGGTGTGGAAACTCCTCAGCGAGGGTCACTGACCCTCACCTGCCGAAAGCCCAGCCATTGCCTTCCTGGCGTTTAGGGGAACATGGAGGGTTTTCTGAGTAGGTGAGTAAGACAGCAACGTTTCGTTCATTTGGATTTGATTTGACATGATTTACATGTTGCACTCAGCTGTGGGAGGACAAAGACACTGAACAGGGTGAATGTCATCCTTGTGTTCTTAGGTTTGTCACTTCCAGCGATGTCACTATTTAGGGACTCAATGCAAATGCTGGAGCCACTTCCTGGCACTTCTAAATTTTCATGACATTGAAAAGCACCCAGAAACCTACTTTCTGCCCCCGCTGTTCTACTTGGTTCTTTCTCCAGACGGACTGTTTGGTGGTGATGCCTCTTTAAACCTCGGAGAGGTCTGCCAGCCTGTACGCGACGTCAGTGCCCAGGTGGCTCACAGGCATCCTGTTCTAAGACCTCTCCTGCAGGGGCCCCTCATTCAAGAAACGAGCCTTTGTGTGTGGTGTTTGGAGCGTTTCCGAGCTTCAAAGTGCTAACAAAAATCACAAAGTGTTTGATTTCACTTTTGGGGAGAGGAATTCTGATTGTGTTTTTTTCCCCCCAGAATTGTGGTGGTTTTGGACTCTATGATTAAGGTGTTTACATTTACACACAACCCCCATCAATTGCACGTCTTTGAAACCTGCTATAACCCTAAAGGTAAGAAGCCCCAAGCGGGCCCAGGCGGGGACGCTGACCCGGGTGACTGCCATCCTCCAGGCGGGGCCTCTGAGCCCCGGTGCCGTGGCGAGCTGGGTCCTGAGGCACGGGCCTTGGGCTGGGAGACACCGGCTTTTGGCTTTTCCTTCTGCGCCCTGCCTCCTGGGTGATGGAGGCAGTGGTCCTGAGACCTCGCCTCCTGTCAGTCACGGGGCGAGGGCCGCTTTCAGGGGTTTTCTCGCGGTGGCCCCCAGGGCCCGCCTCTACCCAGTTCTGAGACATTTCCTTCCCTCTTTCTTCTGGAGGGCGATATTGGTGGCAGACGTCATTACTCATTTTATCAGCTTGATTGCTGTTTAAGATTTTTGGTTTTTTCCTCCTAGCTTTATTGAGGTATAATTTACATAAAACTCACGGATTTTGAGTTTATCATTTGATAAGTCTTGGTAATTGTAAACTGTTGTAATTACCACCACAGTCAGCACAGCACAGCCCATCACCTAAAAAATTTCTCAGGCGGTTCCCTCCCCGACCTGCCCATCAGACTTCACTTTTCCAGACGTGCTCGATGCCCTTCCCTTGGCTCCGTGTTTAGATTCCTCCGTGTTGCGTGCGTGGCGTTCTTTGCTCCTTGTTACTGCCGGGCACTAGCACGTGGTGTGGCTGTACCACAGTGCCTCGCCGTCCCGGGCTTCTGGCGGCTGTGACTAGCAGCTGCCGCGAGGGCTCAGCTTCCACTCTGGGTGTGGATAGGTTTCTGTTTCTCTCGAGTGAGTACCGGAGCGTGTAATTGCTGGGGTGTGTTGTGAACAAGTGTCTAACACTGTAAAACACAAAAACATTCGCCAAAGCGGCTGTGTCATTTTGCATTCCCATCGGTGACTTACAAGCATCCCAGTTGCAACGTGTCGTTGCCAGCACTTGGTATTGTTAGTCTTTTTAACTTCAGACATGTGGCTGTGATGATAGTATCTCTTCGAGGATGAATGACCTGGAGCATTGTTTGGTGTGCTTGTTGCCATTTGTAGGTCTGTTGTGAAGGTTTTCAAGTCTTTTGCCCATTTTAGAATCGTGTATCTCATTACTGAGCCATAAGAACTCTTCCTGTATTCTAGATAGAGCCCTTGGTCTGGCATACTTCTGCAGGTATTTTCAGTTGGTCTGTGGCTTTCTGCAGAACAAAGATTTTCTTTTATGTTTTCTTGTAGACGTTTAGTAACTTTAGATCACAAGTCTTTGATCCATTTCGAGTTAATTTTTGTATATGGCATAAGGCAAAGGCCCAGGTTCTTTTTTTTCTGTATGGATATCCAGTTTCTAGTACCATTTGTTAAAAAGACTATTTTTCTGCATTGAATTACCTTGGCAGCCCCCCCCCCCTTTTTTTTTAATCAAATAAGTGTAAGGCTTTTCTGGATCCTTCATTCTGTTCCAGTGATCCGTGTTTCTGCCCTTAGGCCAATACCATGCTGCCTTGATTTCTGGAGCTTTAAAATAATTCTTGAAGTCAGGTACTCTAAATTCTCCAATCCTGTTCTTATTTTATAAAAAACTGTTTTGGCCATTCTAGGACCTTTGCTTTTTCTTACAACTTTGAGTGTCTGCTTGCCTGTTCCTTCAGGAACGCCTGCAGAGACTATAATTGTGACAGTATCGGCTGTCAGTGTCAGTTCCAGTCTGTGACCTGATGTAGCTCTGTCCATCCAGTCTCCAGTTTTCCTTTGCCATGTGTCCGTGTCCCATACATCTGTCGTTAAATTTGTAGTGCTTTGTTTTCTTACGCTATTGCTAATGGATTGATTTCAGGCTTTACAGCTTAAAGTTCTCAGTGGCAGGCACCGTGAAGGGAGGCATTCAATAAGTTCATTCAGTAGGTTCAGATGTTTCCAGTTATGAGACGATCTCATGGAAGGTAGCCGTGCTTGGCCCTCTCGTACCCTCTACAGTGGAAAGATTTTATGATTCTGATGTAAATGGAAACCACAAATAATCCCTATTTGATTTTCCTTGGGAGCCGGGGAGCGAAGAGCAGATTTGGACAGGGCTTTGCCTGTGGGAAAGCAGAGGCGTCGAAGATGCCCGGGGACCCCTGACAAGTGCTCTCTATCTCTCTTTAGGCCTCTGTGTCCTGTGCCCCAACAGTAACAACTCCCTCCTGGCCTTCCCGGGTACACACACGGGCCACGTGCAGCTCGTGGACCTGGCCAGCACCGAGAAGCCGCCCGTGGACATCCCTGCCCACGAGGGCGTCCTGAGCTGCATCGCCCTCAGCCTGCAGGGGACAAGAATTGCCACCGCGTCTGAAAAAGTGAGTGCGTTTCCCTGTCCGCGGGAAGGCCCAGTGCTCCTGTGCCTCAGCGTGTGGGCCCCTGAGAGTCCAGGCTCCAGGCAGCGAATCTAGTGGTCTGGTCTCTGGGAAGTATTATGAAGGTGCCATTTTGCTAGACAGGGAACCGATGGCACTTACAGGACAGGTCAGCCTGGCCTTGGTGTTCCCTTAGGTGCGCACCAGGGAGCCAGAAGCACGGGGTTAGTCAAAGGCCTGCCCACGGGCCCAGGCACCAGGCTTCCCTCACTCCGTCCGGCCCCTGCCTGGTGCTGTCCGACTGAAGAGCCACTAGCCCTTCTTGGAAACAACAGAGGGGAAGTTGGGTTTTAGATGATGTGGGTGTTTGGGGGAAGGGTTGTGTGGGCTAGCGGGTTTGTGAGTGTAAGTCATTTAAACTGACTATTGATAATGAAACACTTCCCTGTTTTTCAAAGGGGACCCTTATAAGAATATTTGATACTTCATCAGGGCATTTAATCCAGGAACTGCGAAGAGGGTCTCAAGCAGCTAACATTTACTGGTAAGGACACGCATCGTTTCACCCAGGAGGAGGCTGTTCCTTTGGGCTGATGCAGTGAAATGGGCCCCTGTGATTCGGAGGGAACGTCTAGGCTGGGCTTTTCTCACCTGAGTGGCATGTGGGGGCAGGGACTGCAGAGACCACGTGCAGGAAGCCCTCTCGTCACTGGCGTCCAGCTTAGTCAGTGTGCCCACGGGAGCACTGCGGCATGCTGGGTCGTCTGAGTTGGGGCGTGTCTGAGCACCGCTGTCCTGGGTGCGGGGAGCCAAGGTGGGAGGCGTTGGGTCGGTGGGCTTCGTGCCGAGGTGGACTGGGCTCCTGCCTCCCCCACGAAACCCGAGGCTGCCTGCTTTCTCTGCAGCATTAACTTCAATCAGGACGCGTCCCTCATCTGCGTGTCCAGTGACCACGGCACGGTGCACATTTTTGCTGCCGAAGATCCGAAGAGGAACAAGCAGTCTAGGTAGGCCCCGGAGTGAAGGGACTGCGCCGGCTCAGTGTGCAGGGTCAGCACTGTCCCGGCCCTTCCTTCGTGTCTTCGAAGTCACTGCAGACCACACGGTGCTAAACAGCGACAGCGTCGCTTCCCTGTTGGGAGGAGGCGTCCGCCATGATCCAGGCACCAGCCCAACGGCCAAGCTTGCCCCCGAGCTCCGGTGCCATCTCTGCGCTGCGTTCAGGACATTCAGTGGCGGTAGAAGCCCATGCCCCTTCTGGTTCGGGTTGTTTCGGGGCTTATTGTAAAGCCACTTGTAAGGATTTGGTTTTTTCACGTGCAAAATGAGTTAAAAGCAAAACCACTGACGCCAGGACCGTACGAAGCTGCTGTGTCTTTAACTCCGCCCCGCGGACGTGACGCTCTTTCTTTTCTTTCTTGTCCTCGTAGTTTGGCGTCTGCCAGTTTCCTTCCAAAGTACTTCAGTTCCAAGTGGAGTTTCTCCAAGTTTCAGGTCCCCTCTGGCTCTCCGTGCATCTGTGCCTTTGGGACAGAGCCAAATGCTGTCCTCGGTAAGTGGTCCTTCTGGGCAGGAATGACACCCGACTGCCAGCCCAGGTGCTGTGGGCACCGCACTCTGTCCTGGGCGTGCAGTGCGTCCCGCTCAGTGTGCACAGACGTGTGGGGTGGTCCCGGCTCCCTGCCCTCCGCCGGGCTCCCCAGGGAGTCCTGGGGCAGGTCATGGGTCTTTGAAGTGACGACCGCCCACACCCCCAGGACAGCATGCTCGGTAAGGAGGGAGCCGCTGGCACCCGCAGGTTTGCCCACGTCAGCGGCTCCGTGCTCCGCGAGGCCACTCACAGTCAGCGCGGTGAGGGCCACTTGCTTTTAACTTGTGGGAGGGAATGTGAGTAAAACGGTTCCCTTCCGTCACAGCCATCTGCGCAGACGGAAGCTACTACAAGTTCCTGTTCAACCCCAAGGGAGAGTGCATCCGGGACGTGTACGCGCAGTTCCTGGAAATGACCGACGACAAGCTGTGACTTCCCCCGCGGTGCCGTCAGCACCCCTGGCCGAGCACCCCCGAAGTGCTGAGTGTGCCCCTCAAACTCCTGGGGCTGGTGCTGGCACCCTCGGGCCTCGTGGGTGACGGGTGGAGGGACTACGTGGGACCTTGGGCTTGAAGCCGCCTGCGCCGCCTGCTTTCCTGAGCAGGCCTTCACATTTCCAGTATTACAGAACCGCCGTCGGGGCCCTGTGGGCACGCGTGGCGCCAGTGCTGACGGTCATTGCTTCCTGGCACTTGCAGCCGGCGCTCCATGCAGAGCTGGGGGCCATGTTGAGAAAAAGACGGACAGGTTGGAGTCTGTTTCTGGCAACAGGTTCCACCGTTTTTATCGAGTTCGATGGGGAAGTGAACCAGCGTCTCCACGTTAGCTCTTAGAAGCAGATCTAGGTAGGTAGTGATGCCAGCGGCTTGCCTTAGAAAGGAGAAAGGAACTTTCTCCCATCTGAACACGGGGGAGACGCGGCCGGGCTAGGCAGCACAGGGGGCGTCTCCCCGATTCCCACGCCACAGCCGTCTTGGTGCCTGTCGTGAGCCTGTGCTTCGGGGGGTGTGCACAACCTGCCGGCGTCCCCATCTTCGAGCTATGGGAACTGGGGCGAACCCCAGGCCCACTGTGAGCAGTGTGCTCCGTGCACCGCCCGGGGTCTGCTGGCTCTGCTGGTGCAGCCCCAGGTGGAAACCGTTCCCTGTCGTGTGTGGGGACAGTAGGGCACAGACATTAAACTCAGTCGCAGGAGACAGCACCACTTAGATTGGAGGGCGTGCGGGAAACGCCTGTCGTCTCAGCGAGGCGTCTGTCGGCGTGGAGCGGAGCTGCAGCGCGTGCGCACGGCCCTTGCCGTCCTCCCAGCGTGAGAACAGCTGCACACTAACGTTTGAGAACGAGAGGCACATGACGTTTTTAACATTTGGTGACTGAGATAGGTTCCAGGCTCTATGTTGTACTACTTGAGGCATGTATTTTCTTAAATTCCCTTTGAAGAAACCTAATTTTATGGTTTTGATTTCAGGTTGCAAACGTTTAAAATCTGCAGCAGCAAGTCCTCCGTTTTGCGAGTTCTTTTCCTGTCATGTAATCAGCTAACTGTGGGTTTCAATGTAAAGTATGCATGTTACTTTTATGTGTATTTAATCATGAAATTTAATTTTGCACACTTATTTTTAATGTTTCTTTTAAATAAAAGTGACTAATTTTGTTGTACTCTGTACCCACCAAGGAAGAAGAATTGTATGTTACGAAAGCAAGCCCCTGGGTTTGAGGGCCCCGTGTGGGTGACGTTCGTTGGCTATACCGACTCTGACAGGCGAGCCTGGACTGTTTTGTGTGGTGCGGCTCTCACAGTGACTCTGCTCACACTTCAGCCCTCCATCCAGGGAGGGGAGTGTGAGGCACCCTTCCCATTGGCAGCAGTGCTAGTTCATGTCCCCTCAGACCCTGTAGTGTGAGTGTCCTCGCAGTGCCTGGGGACAGCTTTAGGACTGGTGAGGGAGCAGGGCGGACTCACGTGGCAGGCACACCCTACCCCATCAGAGCCCGCACTGAGCGCGCGAATGACAACGGACATGCCGTGTGATGCGTCAGGGAGCCCCGGCCAAGGGGTGCTGGAGTGAGCTGGGGAGCCACCCCGCCAGTGTGAGGCTCGTTTGTCCTCTGGGGGCGTCCATGTCTCGTCTGCAGGAGGCTCATGGAAGGCAGGTCAAGGGCCTGGGAGCCTGAGGCAGCCCTACGTGTGTGGCCTCGATTTTCCACCCTGGAGAGGTGGCCGGGGAATGGCAGCGTCCATGGTGTGGGGGCTGTCGGGCAGAGCTGTGGGTTCATTTAGAGTAGCAGGCTGTCTTTCAAGCTGGGACCGTGGATTTCAAGCCTGTGTCGAGAAGGGGTAGCTCTGAGCTGGGGCTCCCTGAACATGGGTGCAGACATGTGACTTCCAGAACTACCACCCCCCACCTCCGCCCCCCGCCCCAAGTGGCTAGCTTTGACAGCGGTAGTGCTTTGTCCACCAAGTGTCACTGCAAATGTTCCTTCTTGTGGCACAGCCTTCTGTCGGTCTTTCAGGCCCTGGCCAGGAGGGTTCTGCGCACCTCTCGGCCCCGTCTCTCCACCCCACAGGCTTCTAAAGTCCCTGTTCAGTGAGGCAGTTGCCTCGGCGCCCTGCAGCCTCCCGCCTGTTCTGTGGGGCCCGTCAGTGGCAGCGCCTTGCTTGGGGCACTACCTGGGTCTCAGGCTGTCGCGTAGGGTGGTGCCGATCCACGGCTCGCGGCTCTGCAGCGCTTCTCTCTGCAGCCAAACCGAGGGGAAAGGCCAGAGCTGACTTCACTGGGCTCTGGAAGCGGCGCTGGGTCGGCTACGACACTTCGGAACTTGTGCCGAAAGTCTGCTCAGGATGGATCAGAGAATACCACCCCAAACCAAAACGTCTGCTGTAAAATAAAGGCATCTAGAAAGAAGGTGAAGCTGGAACACTGCCCGCGTGCCACGTCCAGACGGCCACTCTCGGAAAGCCATCCGCCTTCTGGGATGGAGTTTAAAGTTTTCGGTTGCATTAGGGGGACCGCTCTTTACTTTAAAAAACTCATGAACATAGCAGGGTATACTTTAATTGTCCAAAGATGTGTATTTGTATTTTTTGTTACATAAAATTTGGAAATGGAAATCCCTGTGCATATGTGTTTGCACACTTGTCCTGTTTCTTTGGGATCATCTGCAATTGCCAAGCCATAGGTGCGCATGTGTAAGATTCGACAAATGCGTGCCACTTCTGTGGCCGTGATTCTCAGCTTCCACACCCATTTTCACCAGGATGAAGCTCTGAGCACGATCTTTTTAACGCTGATGCACAAAAAAAGACTCTGCCTCCAAGTCGGGTTGAATGTTCTGGAATTCCTCTGCTGGCCATGTGTAATTGATTTACAAATTGCTTATTCATGTCTTCGCCTATTTTTCTGTTGGTAGACTTCGTCTTTTTTGTGAGAACTCTCTATATAACCACCCGTTGTTATTTTTTCCACTTTGTTCGTTTGAGTTTGAGGATTTTTACTTATCTGTATGCATACCTTGAATCGTTACGTGGTCTTTTTCCTTGGTTTCCGGTATTGGTTCATTAAAACCGCATTTTTCATTGGGTGGTATTTTATGGGTTCTGTCTCCACAGTTCGCTCGAATGGAAAGTGATTTCAAAGACTGTGATGTGGTAAGGGTCCCGTTTCCCCGCACACCGCAGGCAGGCCATGCTCAGACACAGGGCGACCCTGATTCTGGTGCCCCTCGTCTGGGCCGTGCCGCTGCCCTGGTGTCTGTCGCGTCCTGCGTAGCACTCCGGCACTCGGAAGTGTTCTGCTCTGGCCAAGAGTACGCAGCCGCCTGCCACAGTGCCAGCTGTCGGCCGCTGCATCGTTTGCCCACCGACGTGGGGTGCTGCTTCGTGGAGAGGGGGACCCTGGTTCTGCCGCCCTTACGCGTTTCTTCCAGGTGAACTTTAAAGTAATAGCTGGAATAATGGCTGAAAACAAGCAAGCTTTAATTGGAATTTCACAAATGCAGAAATGATTGATCCTCAAGTGCTGAGAGAGACACCGCGTCAGGATCTCATAAATATTTTCTCCCCAACCCTCACGTGGTAGCGTGTCTCAGATGATACCCTAAATGCACTGTCATTCAATTTGCTTATTTTAAAATGACATTAAGCTGTTCGACTTGTGGGGAAAGAAGCTTTCAGTCTTACTTTTGTCCTTGTGTCGTTTCAAACTGTTTTACAAAGTTACAATTTGGAAATCCGTCTACCTGTGGTTTTCTTTGTATTTATCATGCACGGGGCTTGCTGGGCTCGAATTTATGAAAAATTCCAGTCATTATTTCCTCAACTAATCCTTCCGCTGTTTTCTCCTTTTGGGATTCAAGGGCACATACGTAATACCTTTTCTACTGCCCACTCGCTGGTCATTGAGGCCGTTCATGTTTTTAAAGTCTTTTTTCCCATTTTTAGCAGGGTCGCTTTTGCCGGCCGCTGAAGACCCAGCCCCGCCTACTCCGCTTCCAAGCCCGAACCGCAGTGCGCGTCAGCGTCTGTCAGGTCTGGGCTGCTTTCCAGGTCCTAGCCAGCTTCCCCTTCCCTCGTCATGCGACGTTCTTTCCGTCCTCGTGCGCGTTCACCGTGTGCGTGAAGGCCTTTGGTGATCCTGGCCTGGTGCTGAGTGGCGTGCCGTGGACCTTCCTCCGTCCTGGGTATGCGTCACGTTCACTCACCTCGTGCTTCTAGTACTTTCGTGTCGTATCCCAGACAGCGCACATGGTGCACTGTGGGTGTCATGGATCCTGTTACGTTCCTCTGACGAATGTAGTTTTTTTGTTTAAGCATTTAACTGTTCTGAACCCAAACTGCCCGCTATCTCCCCGAGTGGGCAAATGAGGCACAGGACTCGAGGGGGCGCCCGGTCCGTGCTGCTGGGAATGGTTCTGCGTCTGGTC